GTATAGAGACCGATTAATGAAACTCTGTCCAGCAAATATGGTAGATTCTGAGGGAAATTGAATAGTACCTTTTACTTTGTAGTCCTTCATCAACGACTGACCGGATGATCCTGCAAATGGCAGTGATTTGGTTGAGGTTAGGCTAATATATATTTTAAAACACGTTTTTTACAACACTGCAATAGTGTCATTTCTCTGAATCATACCAGGTACTGTAATAAATAAATGAATATATAAGTAAGCTCTCCAGAATATATGACAAAAGAGAAAAATTTGACACGCCGATAAATCGCTCTTAACAGTTGTGCTTCGTATCTCACAGACCGTGTTCGGAGTAAAGCTGACTACGGCTAGATCTCGTTAGTCGCTGACGATGTTTTTTGACTAGATTCCCCAGCCACATCCAGTCAGCACTTCCATGATCAGCTGAAAACCGCAGGAAACTTTCATGTACGATTTGCTTCAACCAAATGAATAAACTCACGTTTTAAATTTTTTTTATTTCACGGTCCATTCACAGCGTATCAGCACAGTGCCTAAAAAATCGGCTTCGAACTGCAGGGGTATAACGGTCTATTCCGGATTAGGAGCAACCTTTATTTTAAGTACCGATTTCCTGGAGCAAGGAATTTACCGCAACTTGCTTCAAACAGGGGTTGCTCGGTAGGTGGAGGTCGAACTCGGAATTGCAAGGTTCGAGTCTCTCTCTTTTATTCCTTCAAAAGTCGGTAAATCAGTACCAATCTGAAAGAGGGAAGCAGAAGAGTACACAAAGCACTAGTTACACCGTTGCTATGGATTCTGCCTTTAAAATATGGCACTCCTGGCTAATGGCGTGGGAAGGGAGATCTGCGCTTCACCACTAGCATCATGGATAAAAATACGTCTGAAATCGCTCATCATGAAAGTGTAAGAAGAAACCACTTTCTAGCGGTAACGAATTTTCCTTTCCGTTCCTTTCGTTTTTCTGTACTTTTGACCCTATTTTTTTCTTTCTCTAAACTGACAA